TTTTAGTGAAAATGAGGTGCCCCCAGCTGGTGTGACTCAGTGGTTGAGTGTTGACCCATGGACCCAGAGGTCACCAGTTTGATTTCTGGTCAGGACACATGTCCGGGTTGTGAGCTCAATTCCCAGTACAGGGCATGCAGGAGGCAGCAGATTGATATTTCTCATTGATGTTTCTCTCTCTCTCTCCCTCTACCTTCCTCTTTCTCTTTCAAAATCAATAAAAACATTTAAAAAATAAAAAGAAAATGAGGAGGACTACCTAGAATACATCTGGGTGAAGAGCACAGACCTTATTTCTCCCCACATGTCTCCCAGGTGGGCTGTCCTTGGTAGAGCAAATGTTCCAGGATCCTAGACTATCTCAGAGCAAGCAGGCCCTAGAGGGCCTGGGGGATCTAAAGCTGCTCTTTGAATATCTGACTCTATTTGGAATTGCAGAGAAGGTAAGCTGAATTGGGTGTGGACCTCCTGCTGAGCTCTGGGGTTCTCAGGATCCTGAGTCTTGTCTAGGACTGACTGTGGCCTTGTTCCCACAGATCTGCTTTGACCTAAGCCTGGCTCGGGGCTTGGACTACTATACAGGAGTGATCTATGAAGCAGTGCTGCTGCAGAACCCAGCTCCTGCTCAGGAAGAGCCCTTGAATGTGGGCAGTGTGGCTGCTGGTGGGCGCTATGATGGGCTGGTGGGCATGTTTAACCCCAAGGGCCACCAGGTGCCGTGTGTGGGGCTCAGCATTGGGGTAGAGCGCATCTTCTCCATTGTGGAGCAGAGGATGAAGGTGGGTCCTAGGTAAGGGTGGAGTGGGACTGGAGGCCTAAACACTCATGTTTCTGAAAGTGCAGTTGGACAGGTTTTCTTTTTTAAAAAATATATTTTATTGATATATTTTTTACAGAGAGGAAGGGAAAGGGATAGAGAGTTAGAAACATCGATGAGAGAGAAACTTCGATCAGCTGCCTCCTGCATACCCCCAACTAGGGATGTGCCCGCAACCAAGGTACATGCCCTTGACCGGAATCAAACCGGGGATCTCTCAGTCTGCAGGCCGACGCTCTATCCACCAAGCCAAACCAGTCAGGGCGGACAGTTTTTCTTTTAAAAAAATTTTTTTTTAATTCTCACTGGAGGATATTATTCCGATTGATTTTTAGAGAAAGTGAAAGGGAGGGAGGAGCAAGGTTTGGGGTGGGGGTCCGGGGGTGGAGAGAGAGGCATTGATTGGTTGCCCTGGGATCAAACCTGCAACCCAGGCACATGCCCTTGACTGGGAATTGAACCCTTTCTTTGCGCAAGCCAAAACTCTATTCTCTGTGCAAGCCAAAACTCAAACCACTGAGCTATATCTGCCAGGGTTGGACTGTGTTTTTTTTGGACTGTGTTTCTTATGATTCTTTTTGTCCTGGTTTTTGGGAGTTAACTGGTGCAAAGGAAGTTTTTATTTTAGTTCTTTCTCTTTTATCAGACTTTTGGTGAGAAGATACGGACCACAGAGACCCAAGTGTTTGTGGCCACTCCACAGAAGAACTTTCTTCAAGAACGGTTGAAGCTAATTGCAGAGCTTTGGGATGCTGGGATCAAGGTATGGTGGAGCTAATTTCCAAGCCATGTAGGTATATGTGGAATTCAGGCACCAGGCCCATTTCTACTTTATGCTTAGGTGGAACTCAAGATCTTTCCAGCCTTCACTAGAGTGTCTTCTTTGGGTAGAAGGGCTAGCTACTTATTTCTTTGGAAATGCGCACTCCTGGGTGTTGTAAATGTTTCCCTCCACATCCCGCGTGGTTCAGGGTTCAGGATCTGGAAGAGGAGCCGCACACAAATGAAAGAGAAGAGACAAGAGATAATTTGGAAATATTGGGGTGCTGGGGTCCAGTCCCAGCGGGCCAGGGGTTCCCAAAGGTGCTGACGGAGTCGGCAAAGAATGATTTACACGGAGACAGCGTTCATAGCTCTCTAGCTCTCTTTAGTCTCCGTGGATCTTCCTGTGCCTGGCTGAGGCCACAGAGAGAGAGATCAGGAGGCAAGCTGAGCCTTTATTTTATAGTCAGAGGTAAACAAGGTAGTGGTCACCATAGTTACACAGTTCTTGTGAGTTTCACTTGTTTTGGCCACTTGCTGTGCTTCCCAGATAAGATCTGGGGAGCATTATAAGGTCAAGCCTAATTATGCTAAGAGGACTGTGCCCTCTAAACTGGGACTTGTTTGTGACCTTGCCAACAGGTCAGTCCGAGCCTTAATCCTATATCGGCTCCCCACACCTGGGGTGGTGTGGTGTGGTGACTTCTAAATCCCATACTTTACCTTCATCCTTTTCAGGCAGAGCTGCTGTATAAGAACAACCCTAAATTACTAACGCAACTGCACTACTGTGAGAACATGGGCATTCCACTGGTAGTCATTATTGGTGAGCAAGAGCTGAAGGAAGGGGTCATCAAGCTCCGTTCAGTGGCCACCAGAGAGGAGGTGAGTGGGGCAGGCAAAAATAGAAGGGATCAGGTGTCTCTACCTTGTTAAGATTCTTTAAGAAATATATTTCTGGCTGAGGAAATATCTTCAGAGTTAATAGTGACAGAGATGAATGAAGACCCATCCTAGGCAATCGTTGTAGCCCATGATACTGGCTGGGTAAGCAGAAGGACAGATAAAATTTCAGTGGGTATTTTGAGACTAATTAACAAAATAGATGTAGATCAGGCATTTGAATCCCTTTGGTTTTAAGGACATACATTCTCTAGGTCAGCTTAAAGCCCACACTACTCCCTACTGGTTGCATAAGTAGTGGGGGTGATATAGAGTAAAATGAATCTGGAAAATCAATGGCTAAGGAGCTGTATCATTTTTTCGTCACATGAGGGTTCTCTTATGTTCCAGGTGGCCATTAAACGGGAAAATATTGTGGCTGAAATTCAGAAGCGACTATTCGAGTCTTGATCCTTTCCTGATTGCCATCTGCTGCTCTTGGTAGAAAATGTTTCATCTAGGACTGAGTTCCTGATGGGCTTCTCAACAGCTGGTCAGGATGGGTGACAAGTGCCTCTGCCTCCTCCATCCTTCCTGGGAACAGAACTAGAGAAAGCCCTGAGGATGCCTGGGCTATTGTGAGCAGCTATTCTGCATGGGCGCAGATGGCTGGTATGTGAAAGACATGCTCTAACTGCAGAGACACGTGACAGATTTCATGTACCATTGGAACACTGCCAAGAGGTGCTAAGGTGCTTGCTGTGAGCAAGGCTTTGAGAAAGTCACCTCTGGCTGGGAGGATTCTGAACCATTGAGATCAGAAGTCAGATCCTTAGCTTTCCACTGTGGCTTCTGAACCAGATTCTGGGAAATTTGTCCACAACCTGCTATTGGCCTGTCCAATTTTTGGGGAGACAATGCTGTGGGGCAAATGGCTGCTGTCTATTTTGTTTGAGGACAGAGATGCTATCACAAGGGCATAGCAATGACAATATTGATGTGGTATGTCTCTAGCCCATCCACTGTTAACAATAGTAGGGTGAGGCTGTCCAATAATTTTGAATATTGAACTTAATAGGTGACCTAACAAGATGGAGATTTGATCTTTTGAGGTTTTGGAGACCACTTCTTGTGCCAGAATTTCTGCTCTGTTTCATGTCCTGTCATGGAGGTGGCTATTCTAGAAATGGTTAGATAATATATTAAATAAAATATTTAATGTAGTAGTTTGGGTAGTTTGTTATCAAGGGATTGTTTTGCATAGAACACAGAAAATGCTTGAGTATACACTAAGAATTCTAAATCTTTGTTATTGTTAACCCTCATCTGAGGATATTTCCATTGAATTTTAGAGAGTGTGGAGGGGAGGGGGAGAGATAGACAGAAACATCGATGTAAGAGAGACATCAATTGGTTGCCTTCCACATGCCCGTGGACCAGGGCCAGCAGGGATCAAGCCCTTGACAGGAAATGAACCTAGGGCCCTTCAGTCCGAAGGCGATGGGTCTATCCACTGAGCAAAACTGGCTAGGAAGAGAATTCTAACTCTTGAGCAAGGAGTAACCTCCCTGGGGTGATGCTCTGTATTCAGTGAAGGAAGCAGCCATAGTTCCTCCAACCCCCAACTTGGAGATACACTTATGTCACTAAATCAATAGTGAGCCATCTGCCAGAGTTCTTCACCCTAGAGCAGTGATTCTCAACCTTCCTAATGCTGTGACCCTTTAATACATTCCTCATGTTGTGGTGACCCCCCAACCATAAAATTATTTTTGTTGCTACTTCATAACTAATTTTCCTACTGTTATGAATCGTAATGTAAATATCTGATATGCAGGATGTATTTTCATTGTTACAAATTGAACATAATTAAAGCGTAGTGATCACAAAAACAATATGTAATTATATATGTTTTCCGATGGTCTTAGGCGACCCCTGTGAAAGGGTCGTTCGACCCCCAAAGGGGTCGCGACCCACAGGTTGAGAACCGCTGCCCTAGAGTGTTGTTGCTGACTGACCTTCCCAAATATAATTATGTTGATTAAATTTGACCATAGGTTGGCTGTAATCCTCAGTTGAGGGAAAGTGAGTTAACTATAGAGTGATAGCATTGCTTCAAGATAATGAGACAAAGTTACGAAAAGCACTTACATGTGTGCACTGGGAAGGTGCAGCCTTTGCAAACACTTAGGTGTTGGGGAGGGGGCGGCATATATTTAGTCAGTTCTGGTAAATAGGGCATCTGAAGCCTTTAATAACAGTGCTTCTGCCTTAAAGGTTTAGAAACTCTTGGCAATGTACGCAAGTTAATTAGACTAGAGGGCACGGATCCGCAGGTCCCTCGTTTGTAAAACAGATGAGTTGAACTTTCAGGGCTGTTTCCGTAGGCCAGAGCCAAAAAAACAACAACAAAAAACCTTTGCAGGCGCCCTTACTTCCGTATTGCTTCGCCCTCCCCATGCGCATGCGCCATTTCATTGACGCGGAGGCGGGGCTTACAAGTCTGTTTTAAAAGCCCTCCAGTCTTTAGCTCGTTTACAACGGGAGATGCTTAGCCTATTGGAGGGCAAGCCTGCTTTACGGCCTAAGGTCGCTTTTTACGACATTTTCCGGCTTCCCATTCACTTCGCGGTGAAGATGGCGTCGAGCAGTGGGGTAGGTGTTGTGTGTAGAAGGAGGCTTGCAGCGGGTGGAGGGTATGAGGTGGATTTTTGGCGCGGAATATACTGCACCGGACTGGCTTCCCGATACCTCCTTGCGCTTTTGTGGCCCCGTAAGGCCCTGGCGCAGAGTGGAATCGCGGAGGTCTCTCGGGTTGGGGTCCTGAGGCCACTTCAGCCTCCGGCTGCGGTCTGGGGAGCCTTCGTTCTCTACAGGTGCCGGGGTCGCCGTGCCGGTGATGACGTGGTTTCTCTCGGCGTCCGACACGATTAGCAACGAATTCTGAGGGCTTTTTATCTCCACAGACAAAAAACTTGGACTTTCGCCGCAAGTGGGACAAAGATGAATATGAGAAGCTCGCTGAGAAGAGGCTCACGGAAGAGAGAGAGAAGAAGGATGGTGGGTGCCTGCTCCATCAGGGGCTGAGGGTATCGTAGAGGCGATGCAGTGGCTTGGAGAGCCGGTGGGGAGTCGCAGTGCACTTTCCTCTTACCCGGTGTACGAGCCCTGCCCTCCTGGTCCTCAGTGTTTTGTGTTTTTGTGTGTGTGTGTGTTTAATGTATAAAATGAAGACGGAGGTGGACTGAAGTGATTTTGGCGTGCTTTCCAGCTCTGTTGTCCTGTCCTTCCTTGCCCTCCCTGTGCTGGTTCATGTTAGTACTTTCCTGAAAAGAGTGGGATCCTTAATAGTGACAGAAGTCAAGAGGGGTATTTTGCTCTATGCTTTACTGTTACTGAAGGCCCTCTCTTTCTGTTGAAATTACTTAAGGGGGAGAAGAACATTCCTGGCCCAATCTAAACCTTTTCCGGTAGCCTGAGAAGAGTAAGGGCACTAGACCGGGAAGGTTTGATGTTTCTGCGCGTGCTTAGTAGGGCTGTGTTCTGTGCCTTGTACAATGTCAGGGAATTGAACACCTCTCCGAGAATAGAGATTGCACTGAACAAAAAGAAATACGTGATTTTCCTCATCTGTTTTCAAACTTGTATGTTCTTTCACTTTACCTCCAGCCATCTTTTAGTGTTTTTTTTTTTAAAGATATATTTTATTGATTTTTCACAGAGAGGAAGGGAGAGAGATAGAGAGTTAGAAACATGGATCAGCTGCCTCCTGCACACTCCCTACTGGGGATATGCCCCCAAGCAAGGTACATGCCCTTGACCGGAATCATTGGACCCTTGAGTCCGCAGGCGGACGCTCTATCCACTGAGCCAAACCAGTTAGGGCACACCCTTTAGTTTTTATGTAGCTTATATAATAATAGTGTTTGGCACGTAACAGGTAATTCCTAAATGTTAGTCCCCTTTTTAAAAATTTCCCCAGCTCGCAGAAGATTCCGTTCTGTGTTATGCTTGGGATATCTGAAAACATTATTGAGTATCCTTGCTCTTTTTTTAAAAGGTTGCTTTTTGTGAAAATTCAGAACTTCTCCCTTCAGTTCAGCTCATCAATGAGTAGAAAACATTGCTTTTTGACTTGTTAGCTATAAGTGAAGAAATGCTGTAGTGAGTTAAGGATGGCTTATCTTTTTTCCTGTTCATACTCTCCCTATCTACTGCTAGAAGTACCTGTTGTGCCCCTTGCTTCAAGTTTCAAAAACGAAATGAGAGTAAACCTCTGGACTTTGAGTTTCATGCTTATCTTTTCCTTTCTGGTTAAGGAGCTGCAATATATATATATTTTAATTTAATATTTTGTTTTA